CTTTCTTTCTTTCTTTCTTTCTTTCTTTCTTTCTTTCTTTCTTTCTTCTCTTGCATGTTTTATTTCCTAGAACAATGCAGTGATACTGGATAACTTTCAGATACCTAGAAGCAAAAAGATAATTTTAGGTAGCTAAGATAAAACAATTATTGAATTATGATTGGACATGGGGAAAAGCTTCTAATATATCAGCTTTATAATCAGAAATTATCTGTGGCATTAAAATGTTATTGAAAGTTTTTTGGCAAATCTTTTTTTTTCTGTAATATACACTATTGGTGGGATATCAGACTACATCTCTTAGTATATCCATTTTTGTCATACTTTGAAAGGAATAAAGTCACCAAGTGACTGTTAAAGTCTAATTTGAATTTACTCCCTGCTTTGCATATACAACCAAACTGCAGGCTTGCCTAGGGAAATATGTTGCAATTTTTTTATTGGGTTCCCACAGTCTTTTCTTTGAGCTTTGTTCCTCATTTTGCTAGACAAGCCTGCAATGAGTATTTCTACCAGTAATACTACAAAGTTTGACAATCCATGTGATATAGAGGTAAAACAAAATAAATGCTATAAGTAAGTAGTATATTTATTTCAATCATTTGAAAACAGCAAAGTCCACATTCTGGACAGAAAAGGACCATTGGTTTGAAAGAGGGGTCAAACAGGCCATCTGCATTAAAATTGAATAGCCCTACCTCAACGGAGGGGGAAAGGACGTGACACCATCCATCTCCTGTCTACAACACAGTCCTTTCAGCAGTCCCAAGAAGGTTCCACACCAGTGGTGGTATGTTACCGGTTTGGACCAGTTAGTAAAAAAAAGCCTCCCAGGATCAGGCGAGAGGAGGGGAAAAAAGCCTCCCACAATCAGCCAAGAGGAGAAAGCGCAGGATCAGCCCTCCCTCCCGCCCCTGCACTTTTCTTTAATTTTTCAGCTGATTGGCACCGCAGGCCTCAGCTGGTATGGGGAAAGCTGCACGTGTGTGTTAGGTGCGTGCGCGTTCGGTGCGTGTTAGGTGCGCGTGCATGCAAACGATCACTGAACCAGTAGTGGAACAGGTAGGATTCCACTGCTCTTCCACACCCATTTTCACTCTGATTCAGGTGACCGTGAGGGTACAGATAAGCCCGCAAGTGGACTCAACCTCGACAGAGAACTGCAAAGGAATATAAATCTTTCCATTCCCCACCATTCAACCAGAAGTTGAAGAAGCTTCTTGGATGAGAAGTGAAATGTTTTCAAGGAACAAAAATCAAGAAAGCCCAGTTGCCTTTTGAAAAGCACTTTTGGGATTTTTATCACTAGTTTGATGGAAGGGGGAGGAGGTATGAGAGCAATTTTATTGCATGGCCTTCAGGATGTTGGGGATATTTTTATTTAAGAATGTCCCCAATTAAACATTAAACATATTTAATGTTAAAAGTATTATGTCAGCTTATATTTAATTTCAAAAGATAATTATAAAGAAAATGATATTTGACTAATTGTGCTTGAAGTTTCTATTATTTCAAAAGATATAATAAAAATTGCCCATACAAAATAAAATTCTGTTAGTCTTCTATGGTTATATTTTTATATAAGCATATATTTTCTCATGATTTAAAAACCAAAAGAATGGGAAGAGGAGAAAAGGTAATAATAGAAAAAGATGATTCCTGGAAGTAATTTTATTTTCCTCCTTTCCCAAATGATCAAGCTAATATTTCAGTCAAGTTTAATCCTTCTGTATTTGTTCCAGAGAAGTACTGAGCACTTCAGAACATTTAATAATCAGAATCTCTGTAGTATACTGTCTTCTCTGTTGTAAATGAAAGGTGTCAGACAATCTTGAGGAAACTTCAGTTGTGTCTGAGAAAGCTATTTGTTTCTTTGGAGATATAGGTAGTCCTCAACCTACAACCATTTGTTTAGTGACCCTACAATGCTACAGAAGTGCAGATAAAGTGATTTATAACCAATCCTCAAATCTATAACCATTACAGCATCCCTATGATCAAAATTCCTGCAGTTGGCATCCGGCCTGCATTTACATCTGGGGTCATGTGATCACCATTTGCGACCTTCCCAGCCATCTTCAGGCCAGCAAAGCTAATGGGCGAAGCTGATTTGTTTAACAACCTCCTGATTCACTCAACAAGTCTGGCAAAGTAAAAGGTCATAAAATTTGATGTGATTCACTTAACAACTGCCTTGCTTAACAATGGAAATTCTGTTCTTAATTGTGGCCGTAAGTTGGGGACTATCAGTATTAATATTAGGACAGAAACTCTGTGATTTAAGATTCCATGAACTCTTTTGAATGGCATAAATATGAGCTGAAACATGATCTGTTCTCCACATAAGTCATAAAATTAGACAAAAAGAACCCAACTAAACCAATGAGTCAAAAACAAATGACCTGTTCATTTATCTATTGAAGAAAATGATCCAAAGCTGCATATTTCTGTGTGTGGCAAAGTATGTGAGCCTTTTGGATTATCAGTTCATTTGAATCAAAGATTCCTACTGAACTTCCAGTAGGATTTAAACCAGTTGGCTCAACTGAAATGCTTCCCAAGCAAATCACCATCTTAAGGGAATGAGCTATGCTAACAACCTTTTGAAGAGTGATGTCAAATATCTATTGCTTTGCCTATGTTATGGTTGCTATTTATCAAGTAAGATAAATAACTATCAGAAAGTCCATGATGAACCTTTTATCTGAAAAGGGAGTTGAGAATTATCAGGGTTTTTTTAAAAAAAAAAGTTTCTACCATAAAGGTAAACTGCTATTAAAGTTTCTAAATAAAGTAGAGCATTTTAATTAGCACTAGAAAGTTGTAAAATGGAATCATTACATATGGATTTGATGACTAGTATTATTTATAAGTTATAAAATATATATACTATGTTGTATAGCAAGAGCTATACAGTTTTATTTATATTTGATGTAAAAGAAGACATAAGTCATTTCTTCTGTATATACATTGCATATTTATGATATTTGGCCCATGAAAATGTTTCTAAAGAGGAGATGCTCTGAATAAAGAAAGCTAACCTGGTCTTTCAGGTCTCCCACGAATGGATTCATTGCTACTGTAACTGAATCCAACCACTTTACTACTGGTTATCCCCTCCTTCCCTCCCTCCCTTCCTCTTTTCCTAGCATTAGAGCTTCTCTAGAGACCTAGGTCTTCATTTACTGTAATGTGTCCCAAGGAGACTAAATGTCTTTGTTTTCTTGACTGTCTATTATATTCCTAGGCGTTTTCTCCGACACCAAAGTTTAATGCTCTCCCTCCCCTTTTTCTTCAAAGTCCAACTTTCACTTCCATACAGTATCACAGGCAATACTATGGTAATACTATATTTGTAGAGAATTGTGGGTTCAGACATTTCATGGCATTCTAATATTTTTTTCCAAAAACCTTAAATCCCTGCTCTTCCAAATGCTAATCTGCTATTTATTTCTTAATTACTACTCGCTTTATTGATCCTAAAAGGCAGAAGCTATTCAAGACTTTGATACTTTCATTGTCAGTTCTAAGGCTGGTTGTTCTATCTGTTTCATTAGTTTGGACTTTTTTATATTTAGCTTCAGTCCTATTTCTTTTACCGTCCTCCTTGACTTTCATTACTAGAGCCTTCAGAACTTTTGCATGTTCAGATGTCACCATAATATCTTTAGCATAGTAGAGTTATTGTTTCTTTACAGTAACTTAGAAATAAATGTCATGAATTTGTTGCCTATGATAACCTCTGCTTTCCTGTGGTCTGGTTTTTTAATTAGATTTTTTTTTTTTTTTGCATGGATAATTTACTTGCATGCTAAGCGACTTTATAGAAAGGTATGTTAACTTTCACCAACATCATTTTTCCAACAAATATAGCATAAAATACAGTTTTTACAATGTCACCTAAGTCTGGATTTGTTAAGAAGTATCTGCTTTCTGTTTCAGATGTTATTGGGTCTTAGGTCACAAAAAGCCTACAAAAATTACGTTTGTATTTTAAACACTTTCAGTACACTATAATTTTAAAGTCATGGATTTTGCTATGATCAAATGCTAATACACCAAATGCTCTTCCTTAGTTTCTCTGTTTATAACAGTCTTTGAATGAAAAGTGGGCTCTCTAGCGTGTATATCTTGGCTTGAAGCCTAGGAAATGGCCTTCAAGTCGGAATGGATCTTCTTTCCTCATTTTTTTAGCTTATTGCTATTTTTGTTGCATGTACATACTGTTCTCTTTAGCCACTTACACAGTATTTACATTAATTTGTTTGTTTCTAAAACTTCCCTTTAAATGTGATTAAACTCCCAAATGTGCCAAGATTATGGCTTGTGGGGGATGAAAGAAAGTTGTCGTTCTTGTGGATTTCTGCCTTTCTGTTTGTCTTTCTAACCAGAGTTATGGATAAACTAAATGAGACTTGAAACATTTGGCTAACTTTAAAAAAAAAAGTGAAAAGTCATTTTATTTGACAGTACTAATTCATAGGAATTTATGTGACCCTTAATACGTGCAACAGAAAAAAAAAAAAAAAAAAAACCTTGACTGCCAGTCAGTGAAGGCAGATGTCTGAATGGACATGTAAATTCCTGTGTGTTTAAATGCTGAAAGGGATCCTCCCATTAAGAGAACTTGTTGCTTGGTGTTAGAGCAGCATTCATTACTCAGTTCATTGCAGGCAAACAACTTTGCTTGTTTTCTTTTACAGGAAGTAGCTGCATTGTTTTTGCATCAGCTTAGTTTAGACTAGAGCCAATTTCTCTCTATCTGACAACACGAAACCTTTTCACAGTATATAGTCTTCAGTATAAGGTAGAGTGCTTTTTAGTGGCAACTCCCATGCAGTGGAATATCATCCTTCCAGAATTGCATGCAATCCCTTTTGCAAATCTCTGAAGATCTTCTGTTCCAATGGGTGTTTAGGAATTAACTACCAGCCAGTTCTGGTAGTTTCTTTTATTTTGTTGTTACTAGTTTTCAACACCTGGAATAGATTGGGGTGGTTCATCAGTAGCAAAAAAATGTTGATTTGCCAAGTATGACTTCTAGCCATATGAAAGTTTTTCAAAAGCAGCAGTTTTCTGAAGTGATAGGATTCTGCATGTTAGAGAAGATTAAACAGTAAGTTGAAAGTGGAGGTTGAAATAAAAAGTTATAGTGTACAATGTTCCTATTCAAAACAAGCAATACACTTTATTAAGATACTACATTCCTTCTTCTATTTTTGGGGTTTATTAGTTTTTTAGCCCTTCTTCCTCCCTCCAATAATCATATGTCATGTCACGATCACAGACATGGTAGTTCTTCCTTGAACTTTTGGACTTCCCGTCTCCTAACTTTGTTTCTAAAGACTTGTCATAATTTTGCAAACTGTAAAGTAGCTCAGAGTTTACATGCTTTGTGCAGATTGCGTTACTTTGACTATGAACGAATCCATACACTTCTTTGAAATTAAAGTAAAAGAGGAAATGAATGTTCAATCAAAATACCAAGTGGTTTGTTATTTCCTATAATATGCTTGTTATAGGAAATAACAAATGTTATATAAATTATGGGAATAACGTACTTGTTATTCCCAAAATTTCCTCAGCTGACTTTTGATTATTTATCTGTCTATTTTATCTCTCCGTTTATTCAGGAGCTCAAAGTGGCTACACAATAACTTCCTCCTCCCATTTTTCCCATGATAGTTCTTTGAGTTAGGCTGATCTGAGAAAAGGGGACTTGTCCCCAGGTTACCAAGTGAGCATCCACAGTTATTGGAGACAAAATTAAAGGAACCTAAGGCCAGTATGGACTTTGTGTATTGGAAATATAGCAGAAAATGGAGATCATGTTGTTTAAATGTATGGTGCATTTTAAACTGGAGAGATGGCAAGGGATTAATTTTGCTATAAATAGCTAAAGTGATTGTTTGTGCTCATGGGTGAAATTATTTAGCTTGGCAATTGGCCAGATACAGTACCTTAGGTATATATGAGCTCAATATAGGTATTATGAAATCCACAGTGTTCACTAGGTGAAGGTTTGAGATAGCTGCCTCTCAGATAACAGCATTTTGTATAAATATCTGCAGAATAGATTTCATGCAAGCCAGCTCCCACAGGTTTTGTACTATCTGAACAGAACTACTGTGGAAGTAGAATTATAAAGCTACCCTAACTGCTTTCCATTGATTTTCCTTCCATCGCACATACTAACTACATAAAAAAAGGGGAGCTTAATGTTATAAGCACTGATACTCCTAATTTTTCTGAATATCAGAAGGGGTTCCTCAAAAGGCTGTACTGAATGGTTATGAATATTGTGAGTTCTGACACTGACTAAATTCTTAATATTGAGGCATTTAAAAACTCTATTGAGAGGCAAATGGTTCAACTATTTTGGTTTCATATTAAAATCTAAAAAGAATACCCAGTTTTCTTTTGATGACTTACCAGTTTTTTTAACTTTTCAACATTACTTATCTCTTAATCAGTGACAGAGATGAGCAATAAGTAAAAGAGAAAATAGTGTTATGCTCCTTGATCTACCCTCTAGTCTGATGCACTGGGATATGTAATTTAACTAACTGGAAGATAATTCTTCCGTTGATTAAATCTTGGATAATTACTGAATTAATTTGAGGCAAGCATGAAATATAGACCATATGTTATGGAATAGACTGCCTTATAAGATGTTTTGAAAACTAGCAGAATATAGGTTTCTTGAAGAAATTCTGGAATTTGAAATTAGTATAACTTAATAGATTGAAAGAAATTGTTAAGGTATATTGTACCAGTGTACAGTACTACATTTCTGGTTCATATTAATTTCCAATTATTAAACTAATCTAAAGGAATGATTCATCCTATTACAAAAGATTTTCAAAAGGTGACTAATAACTCCTGGAAATGTGAAATATGAATTTCATTTCTAATGGGAATGTCTTGAGAATGAAGAAAGATCGTTATTAATACGCAATATATCTTTCTGACAACTCTCCTCTCCCTGCAGTGCTCTTGTTGAACTAAAGTATTGTTATTTGGTTTGGGAGAAAATACCATTTTAGAGACTTGAATAACGAGCTGAAACAAAAGCCATAACTTTTTTTAAAAATGTTCTATTAATAGCCATTTTTAGAACAATGCCAAGATTGATCTTTTATTGTGGCATTCTGATAAAAATTATTAAAATGGGAGAATATGTTTATGAGTACTACTTACAGAGGCAAAATCAGTTGAAATAATTCTGAGTTTGTAGCCAAGTGTCCAGTGGTGTATTAACCATTAAGCAGACTAAGCACGTGCTTAGAGCACCAGGCCCAAAGGGGGTACCACAAAGTTGAGAAAGACAGAAAAAATGAAGATTTGTAAAAAGATTTGTATGTACAAAGGAGGGGAGCACCAAGATTTGTCAGTGCTAAGGGCACCAGTGAGCCTTAATCCTCCACTTCAAGTGTCCATTTTAGTTCTTTTTTAAACTTTTAATTGGAATGTTTGTTCATAATTGGTTAAGTTCAGGATCTTAAAACTGGCTCACAGAACTTGAATTGTGTAATTTGTTTTCCCTTTAAATATCAAGTTCTGCTCTCCCTTCCCACTGTACTAAGTACCTTCTAGCAGAAGCTAAACTACTGCTGGTTATGAATAACTCTATTGTTCTGGTTATATTGACAATGTTTAAAAAGATTGTGTGTGTGTATAATTAGGAGATTATTAACGAGGGTTAAGCGAGCCTTCCTTCAAAATGGTGTTTGATGCTCTTTGCTGGCATCGTAGCTTGCTTTTAATTGTTATCATTTGCTAGGCAATTATGAAGGAAAAAGAAAAAGGAATCAGCAAATGTGCATTCAGACTTTTTTTTTTTTTTGAGATATGGGACAATCACATGGATTTACAGAAATCGACCTTCACTAGCAAGTTTAGTGTAAATAGACAATTCTATGAGAATTGCATACTGCTTTTCCCAAGAAAATGTATTTTCCTTCTTTGTCTTTATTATTGTCATTGGTCAGCATTATTTACATTTTTGTAACAAGTTTACAAGATTCGAATACATAGACATTTTAATTGATTAACAAAAACAAAATGATTCCTACTACAAAACACTATACATACAAGATTCAGAATACTAAAAATCTAATATTTAAAACTGATTAATAAAATTATCAACCTACTTCATGAATAAAATATTAAATTAATTTTACTAAATTATTCAATGTGTTGAAGTGTGTATATATCCACACATAGGGAGAACCTTATTGTGGTTAGTTGGTGGTGAGATACAACGAAGGCTAAAGCATGTATACAGTACAGTATAGAAAGCATAATAAAATTTGGTATAGTCACAAGACCTTAACATTAGGAATGGATTAAGCAGCATAAAACAATAGCAGCCAAAATAAATTTTGTGATGCTCCTAGAGATGTTAACCTTCTAGTCTGAAAGTAAAAAAATGAATAAACTCCTCATCAGAACAGGTGGGGCTTCTGTTAATAAGCAGAGTTATGAAGGAAGGGGCATTGAAGAACATATGATGTAAAGTCTCAGTTTCCCCCACTGTCATAGACAGGTTTGCAGATTTGCACTGCCAAAAGTGTATTGTTACTCTTCATGTCCAGTCCAGCAAAGTAGGAATAACATACCTCTTGTTCTCTATTATATTTTTGACTTTCTCCCGATTAGCAGAAAATGTGACAACGATGGTAATTGTTCTAATTTCTAATAGGCAGAAGTAAGGCCTACTTGATTGTCATATACTTGTTTTACATGCAGTTTAATAATAATAAAGCCTTTTAAAATACTTGTGAAATTTTTTAATTTGTAATCTGCTTGATTGATTGATTCCAAACATGGTTAAACCAGAATCACTGAATTCAAAGGATGGGAGTAAGTAACAGCTAACAAGTCTTATTATTTCATCAGTCTTACTTTTAAATAATACTAAATCTGGATTTATCAAGCAGAATTTGCCTGCTGCCACTATATTCTTAATTCTGAAAAACCAAAGTTGTTGAGTTCACAAAGTGGGGGATTTCAGAATGTTTTCTTAGAATAAGTATGGTATTCATATGCATCTCTTAGTAAAGTGATGACATCCAAACTAATTTAGCAAATATATAACTCTGAGAAATCTGTTTTATGAACTGTGCTACTTAGTTTAACAGAGTACGTGTACTTGTTCCATATAGAGATATACTTTAATATTGCCTGTGTAAATCTGCTAATCTGTTTCAGTTAATAACATTTAGTCTATGTTTAAGAGACTTCAATTTTGCACTCCTTGTACCTAACCTACCTAATGTTGATTCTAAACTGTTAAAAATCTTGAAAAAGCAGCAAGCTCTTCTTACAATTATATTAAACAATGGCTAGATTTTAGACTGTACAAGTTTGCTGAATTCTGTGGAGTTGTCTACCTTGAAGCTTTCTGGGTTTCTGGAACCGATAGCTTTCTTTCTCATACAAGTAGCAGTCCAAATCCCAAGTTGAAAGTGAATCTATGCCTTTGGCTTTCCTCCAGCATTCCTCACTGAGCAAGTAAGAATTTGGAATGTCAGAAAATAGCAAAAGGGGAGGGAAGATACAAGTGTGTGAAGGCGTTCCTGATTTGGAGGACGGAACAAAACACAGCTTCATCTGGATTGCCCTTTTCTGAAGCAGCATTCCTTCCTTATTTGTACTTTCTCACTGATGATGCAGCTCAGTTCCAGCAATGAAGATCTGTCTCATAAATGCTGTGGATTAAAAATGCTCTTCATGGAACTCTCTTCCTAGCTGGACAAATGGACCAGTCTTCAGGGGTTGTCATTTTTGTGATCAGATTTCTTTTGTTTGGTTATCTGGAAACATCCTGGCTTTGCTGTACGGAAACTGTTGTTTAGCAAGAAATATTTTGGAAAATCTGAGGACTGATTTAGTTCTGAGGTTGGCTCTCTACGATTACAGAAGCTCCCTGGTTCTATCTTGCCATGATTAAAGAATTATGGAATACTGCTGACTGTAATATGTTTTTTACAAGCATTATCTGGATGCTTAGAAACTTAAAACTTTGAAGAATGGATAAAACCCTGTAATTATCAAACCAGTTTCTTCTTACTTTAGACATCACTATACATCTTCAGCCAGAGACAGAGGAGTACTATCTTATTGCTACTGAAAGTTGCCTTGCTACCACCCTGAATGGACCATGTCTTCCTTGTATACCAGGAATAAGGAGTATACTCGAAGCAAAAAGTCTCAGTCTGATTCTCCCCCATCATCTCCTTCCCCGATTGCAAAGACATTCAGAGTAAGCAGTCACTTAATTTCTATATATTTATTTCAACTTCCTAAGGGCTTGTCTTAATTACACATTACATATATCTTTCCTAAATGTAGTCTCAGTGCATAGTTCATTTCTGATCTGAAGTACTTATCTTGGAAAAGCCCTAACAAGGCTCTATTATAGAAGGAGACTTCAGCGACACAAAACCTCTTAATTTTATCTGTAGTTACTGCCTCCTATTTCTTCATAAAGATCAGAAATTGCATTAGCTACATATTTTGTACCAGCACATAGGTTTTTTTTAAAACAGAAATGAGACAAAACCTGAACAGCTTGTTAAACTGCTTTGTTTCTCAAGTCCAAAATACTTAAATATTCCATTTTAAAGTTTGGTGGTGTATTGATAGAATGATATGATGTGTAATACTCTAAAATAGCCTGGATACAGCAATTGTCATTGTTTCATATTATTTCTTCAAATGACAAGAATCCCATTTGCAAGTTACAGAGAAACTTGAGGACTCAGATTCTTCAGACATTTCCTTGAGTTGTTCTTTTTCGGTCTCAGAAGTGTAAAAAGAGACGAGGTAATATTAGTTGATTAAAACATTACCCGTACTTTATATCACTAGGGAATACTGAACAAATTGAAATGTTTCTCTATAGCAATAGTTATTACAAACTTCCCACAGATATGTAGTGTCCACATTGTCTTAATTTTAAAAGAAAAAAAGTAGGAATACAATAGGTGTACCAGATTAAAGAAATTTGCTGTGCCAAAAATGGGACACTCCTTTAATCTTGGAACTTTGCTCTCCACCAGGAGTGTTCTACTTGTTGTGATGGCAGAAATCTATGGGCTTCTATGATGTTGGGGTGAATGAAAGGAGTTTTGGATATGCTGAATCCCAGATCTTCTCATTTTTCCAAACGTGCCCTTCAAATTTACTTGTGCTAAAGATGATGTGGGCAATTTTCTTTTTATACAGTACAATCACATTCTGAAAATTTAAAAACAATTCTAAAGAATCCAATAAAGGCAAACTAACATCTAATACTTATTTTATAATGCTGTGACGTATATGTTTACTTCTGTTTGTTTTGCAAATTTGATGGAAAATATGAATTACTGTCTTTAACTTCAAGTCCTGAAGAATGTTTCTCTTGGCTAAGAATTTATCTCTGGAGAAAATATCATAATAATTGTTAACAATTTTTTTAAACTTGTAAGATCACAGGTTGTTTTTGCTGTTAGTTAATATCCTCGGGAATTTCTATCCCATTATTTCTATTACCATTTGTAACTGTCCACATTGCTTCTTTGTGCCTCATTAGTAGTTTTCATTACCTCAATCCAGCTTTCTGAACTGACCTTGCATTTTCTTCCTGCCTTCTTGTGTCTCATCCCTTTGCATTCAATTTTCTTGCTGTTCTTCTTCTTCTTCCCTTCAATAGCAATACCGAGAGTATTAATATCTTCCAGTTTGAAAAGCAGTGAAACCATGTAAAATGACGATATCTATACTCTCTATTCAGTTGATTGCTTAATGAGGCATTTTTCTTCTTCTTTCAATTAAGAGGCTCATCAACATTCATTGTTAAAGAAATAAACCAGTCTTTTGTTACACCAAATGGTAAACAATTTAGAAAGACACCCTTCAGCTACATGCTTATCCTCTTTTGCTTTTTTGTAGTTTTCTTGCTTCTATATAATTACAACATAGAAGAACTATGTCAATCCTATTTAGACACTTTAATTTTAAAATTAAATTGATTTGCATAATTGCAGAATACATTTAAACATAAACCAATTATAGATTGGAAAATTGTGTAAAATAAACAGTACAGTTAATAATTGCAAAGAAACTAAAAATGAATGTCTTTGGTTTGGGGTTTTGGCCTCATTCTCTCTCTTTTTTTTATTCTTTTTGACTTCCCTAACACACAAATCAAGTGACCATTTACTCTGCTGTTATGAATTGGTTATGTATCATTATTCCTTTACCCCTAGCGACTTTATAGATAGATTTCCTCCATGATGATCTATCCTAATCTGGTCTTTCAGATCGTTTAGTGTTGCACCCATTGCTACTGCAACTGAATCCATTCACCTTGTTGCTGTTCTTTTTCCTTCTACTTTCCCCACCATTAGACCCTTTTCCAGAGAGTTGAGTCTTTGAATAATGTATCCAAGGTAGAATAATTTGTAACTGGTCATTTGTGCCTTCATGAGATTTAACTTGATTGCATCTTTAGTTTTCCCTTATAACTCTGTTCATTTGCTTGAGTCATCTGAAGCTATTTGCTCTAGGACTATATTTTTGCAATGTAGCTTTTAAATTTTTAACTTTTATGGGATTGATAGCTGGGGAAACATTTCTTTCAGTATTTTTGTTAGATTAGGGCCAGTGTAGATAGCAGCACCTAACTGCCTTTAGCTAATCATGAAAGCTGAGCAGGGTCTACTCTGATTAGTATTTAGATGCAGTACATGAGAATTTAAGGAACATTAGCAAGACTGGAATGTTGAAAAGAAACCTCCCAGAAGGCAATGGTAAACCACTTCCATATTGTTGCCAAGCTCTGGAGCCTACCGCAGCACCAAACTATTAAAACAGGCTGATGCATTCTGGAAATCTAAACATGGAACTACAAAAACTACAATGACCATTCAATACTATAGAATATATTACTGTTCAAGACTTATGACATAAGGGCAAACGAATAATGAGCAATTGACAGTTTATGGGGAACATGGCCCAAAGAATATCTGAAATTAACACAGAGAGCATCAAATAAAAATGAGTTATCAGTGACAATTTAGCATATTATTGCAATGAGAGGCAAGGAATTGCGAGAGTACCATGTTTGTTTCAATAGGATAAAATAATGGCTTTAGAAAGTAACATAGTCAAATTAACGAGAGAAAAATGAAACAGAAGTTCAGAGTGTCAATGGAAATGATTTGTTATACAGTGTTCAGCTGTAGAATGAACAAGCAGACAACTAACTTTCAGAGACATTTCTTTCACAACAGAGAAAACTAGAATTTTAGAGTTTTCATACCATAGCAAAATCCACAAAGAAGCAAAGTCTAAAGTTTTACTGATAGACATGAAATGAAGCAATAAATCAAAATGTGTAGCTCTAGGATTTGGGATTCAATTTAGTACATTTGAAGTGAAATAGCCTATCCCTTTTTGGCCACAGAGAGATTTTAGATTTTTTTCTTGAGATTTATATATACAGTTCAGTTGAGGCTTGTCACCACTTGGAAAGAGGCTATGGCAACAGATTGTCCTGAGAATTGTCTCTGTACACAGAGGTTCCCTGGTTTTCAGAGGGCCTACAAGAGAATCAATCAATGCCATTGGCATTCTACAGGGAGCAAATCCAAACAGATGCAAGTACAAGTAGTCATTTCTTAAACATCTATTCAGTGACCATTCAAAGCACTGAACAAATGGTATTTAGAATTGGTCTTTGAACTTATGACTGTTGAATCATCACTGTGTTCACATGATCAAAATTTAGGTGCTTGGCATTTACAATTGCAGGTGCACTTCAACTGCCTCCACTACCCACCTCCCCCATCTCTGGCCTTTTGGCCACCTTGTACACTGACCTGCACTCTTCCACCCTGCATTCCACCATCTCTGACTCCCCAATGCCCTTTGCCATTTTTGTCCCACTGCTGACAAAGTGCACCCAGCCAAAGCAGCTGCTGAATACATATGTCCACCACATGGCCAACAGGTGTGCCGCGTCAGCAGAGGGAAGAAAAAGATGGTGAAGGGCAGCTGGGGACAGCAGCAGTGGCCCAGTGCAGGATGGCTAGGGTGAGGGAGAGCAAGGTCGCCAAAAATGCAAAGATGGGGAGATAGGTGGATGACAAAAAATGAAGCTCAGTAGGGCAGTGCACTTTAGGGCAGAGCAGGAGAAGCATGAGGTTTTCATCTTAACAACCACAAACAGGAAATGACTGTTGGAAATCCCATCACTAAATGGTCTAGTCATGTGATGTTTTATTTAATGGCTGCTTCACTTAGCAACAAAAATTATGATCCCAATTAAGTGAAGACTGCCCGTAAGAACTTTTCTTGGAAGCTTATTTTCCACCTTACTATGTCTTTGAGTGTCAGTGAGCAGGCTCTTCTGGATCAGGAAGAATTGGTGGAGCAATTGCAGGTTCACTGTGGAGATTTTCTCATCGTTTGCTCGGTTTCACTCTAAGTTTGAATCCTACGGAGGTGACCGAAGCACAGTCTTCTAGAATGAGTTCATGTCTGTTAGTCTTGAGGAAATGGACAGGAACTTTGGAGATATGTGTCTGCCATGTATATTAGATCCATGTCCCTCATGGTAGATTGAGGCCTCCAAGAATCCACATGTGAATGGATCCAAGTAGTGGTAAATGCCTTTTGGAGTGGAGGGAATGGTTCTGCTAGCTCTGGAAGAAATGGCAGTATACCCCTTCTTCAAGAGATCACCCTTGGACTAAGTTAATCTGGATAATTTTCATCCAGATTCCCACAATCTCTTCAGTTGGCCTCAGCCAACTTCAGAGGGCCTTGGAAGAAGCAGACCATCTTTCCAGTTGAGATTCAACCAGGACATAATACTGAAATGGGTTTGGTCATGCTTGTTGATGAGCTATTGCAAGCTTAGAATGGGAGTGAGGCATTAATCCTGGGCCTTCTTGATCCTAGGTGGCCTTTATGCCATCAGCCTAACCCATAGTGTACCTCTGGATCAAGGACTGAGAGTGGTGGACAACATTTTGCATTGGTTCTCCTTCTTTGAGGGCCAGTCTGCCTTGGTGGGAGAGGAATTTTCAAGGTTATTCCCCCCCCCCCCGCTTTGTGGGCTGCCACAGGGCTCTACCTTCTCCCCCTCCTTTTTATATCTACACGTAGCCACCTGTTGAGGTCATCCATCAGTACGATGTGAAATATCATTAATATGCTGATGACACCCAGTTGCAAATGACATCTCTGTTGCCAACTATTTAAATGAAGCTGAGG